ACTCATGCCATTTAGTTTTCTATATTTCTCTCAGCGTGCCGTTTGGCACGTTCCAGTGACTGCACCGAATCAATTCGGCGTGTTAACTAGTTATGTGCTGGTGTAGGTGTGCTGTTTGGCCCGCTTCGGTGCGTGGTAAAAAAATACATCCGTGTGCGAGGTTACGATTGCTCTTCAGCATTCAAGCCCTCTTTGCACGATTGCACTTTGTAGACTCTTGCATGCGAGTTCCGGTCGTTGCTTGAGGCTGTGCGCGTTCAGCTGGATCGCTCCACGGCCCTTCTGTTGGCCTCCGTGGGCGGTTCCACGCCAGCGTTTCAATGTGTGCTCTGCCGTCGCTCTGTACTCTAGTGATCTCGCCAGATTGAATGTGATGCTATTCCCGAGGTGTGGATACGTCGCTCGGGACACGTCGCTCTCTGTGCGCCCTCGCCTGCATGCACCTCCCGGTGCTGCTTCGGGGCCCTCCGAGGGAGGGGCGCCGAGCGGGCGGCCGGCCCCGCTGGCCAGTCGGGCTCCGGCAGGGGCCGCCAGCGGGTGCCCGGTGCCCCCCACCGGGGGCGGAGTCGGCAGGCGGCGGAAGCTGCTCGGCTGTTCTGTTTGCTCCGGAGGGCCTGCCGACCAGAGGCTGCCTGCTGACCCGGGTCGGCGCGCCGAGAGCCAGCCAGACACACGTGCGAGCTGCGCCCGGAGCGACCCTCGCAGCCTTTGACGCTCCGAATCTGCCTTCTGTTCCCCAGATCCTGAGATGGGGATTCTTGTTATTACTTAGGGACGCCTACGCCTCCTGACCTCCTTCCTCCTTCTCCTTCTTCTCCTCGCCCTCTTCTTCACTCTCATACCACTCAAATGCTCATACTCCGATCACTCATACCCATCACGAGGACCATCACAGACCACAGATCACTCTTCCTCGCGGGTTCCATCACACACTCACTCTTCATCACGCAGCCTCAGCCACATCACTTCCAGACTCAAACTCACTCAGATTCAGACTCACTCAGACCCACTCAGACCCACTCAGACCCACTCAGGGAATTACTCAGACCCACTCAGGGAATTAGCCTCAGACGCTCCCTGTCATACGCATTCAGACTAGATCACTCCGACACATCCTTCCCCACTCAGACTCACTCATACCTATCTGGTGGTCCACTGCTCACCGCGATAAAGCAGGCGTGGCACTTGGGCACCCCAAGGGGGAGCTGCCAGGGGTGAGGACACTCCAAAACTCGCGTCCAAATCGTGAGATTGTCTCAAGTGGTTTGCCTGTTTCTGCCCCCCCAGAACTTTCCCATTTGGTGGTTCAATGCTCACCGCGATAAAGCAGGCGTGGCACTTGGGCACCCGAAGGGGGAGGAGCCAGGGGCGAAAACACGCCAAAAGTCGCGTCCAGATCGCGGGGATGAGTCAAGCGCTTTGCCTGTTCTGCTCCCAGAATGTTTGCTCTTTTGGTGGTTCAATGCTCACCACGATATAGCAGGCGTGGCACTTGGCTAACCCAGTCGTCAGGTGTAAAGACACGCCAAAAGTCGCGTCCAGATCGTGGAGATCTCTCAAGCTGTCTGCCTGTTGTCCCCATATCCTAAGATGGGGTTGTTCGTTTTCAGCATGTCCTAAGATGGGGTGCTCGCTAGTATTCAGAAGCCTCCAGGCCTCCCTCCTCCGTCTCCTCCTTCTCCTCTTCCTTGTCTTCACTCTCGTATCATTCAGATGCTCATACTCAGATCACCTCACACCCAATACAAGGCCCATCATAAATCCACTCTTCCTCACGCGTTCCATCACTCAGACTCAGAACCACTAACCTACACACACACACACACACACACACTGATTGTGACTTAATCGAGGCGCTGGCTTCAGCACTCCTCCTGAAAGGGGGGGCGCCAGGGATGAGGACACTCCAACATTCGCGCCCTCATTGTGGAGATTCTTAAGTTTTTGCCTGTTTCTGCCCCCGAACATCCTGTGCTTTCGGAGCAGAGTGCAAAGATGTCTCAAGCGAGACGCGGGCTTCAGCACTCCCAAAAGGAGGGACGCCAGGGGTGAGGACACTCCACAAGTCGCGCCCAGATTGTGAGAATGTCTCAAGCGGTTTGCCTGCGTCTGCCCCCCAACATCTTCTGCTTGCGGAACAGATTGCGAGCTCTCAGGCGAGGCGGTGGTTTCAGCACTTCCAAGGGGGGGGGGGGGGGGGCGGCGCCAGGGATGAGGATACTCCAAAATTCGCGCCCTGATTGCGGGAATGTCTCAAGCGGCTTGCCTGTTTCTGCCCTCCAGCATCTTCTGCTGCCAGAGCACATTGTAAAGATGTCTCAGGCGAGGCCCTCGTTTCACCACCCACAAGGGGGTGAGCAGGGGTGATGACACTCCAAAACTCGCGCCCAGATTGTGGGGATGCCTCAAGCGGCTTGCCCGCTTCTGCCCCCATCACATCCTTCTGCTCTCGGAGCAGATTGTGAGGATGCCTCGAGCGAGGCGCTGGCGCCAGCACTCCCAAGGTGGAGCCGCCAGGGTGTTCTCGTGGGCCCGTTCGCGCTCAAGCTGCAGAGATGTCTTAAGCGGTTTGCGCGTCTGGGTGCACATCCTCTGGCCTCAGAGCAGCGGTGTGGAGACGTCTCGAGCGAGGCGCTGGTTTCAGCACCCCTGGGGGAGGCCGCCAGGGGGCCCTTCACTCTCCCTGCCGCGACCAGATTGTGGGGATGTCTCAGGCGTGTTGCCTGTTCCGGTGGCCCAGGCCCCTCGCTCACGAGAGCCTCCTGGCAATCGCGGTAAAGCAATCGTGCCATGTGGGCCCTCAAGGAGGAGCTACCAGAGAGGGGGGGCACTTACCAGGGAGGAGGAGGAGGAGGAGGACGAGGAGGAGGAGGAGGAGGAGGGAGGGAGGACAGAGGAGAAGGAGGAGGAGGAGAAGGAGGAGGAGGAGGAGGGATGAGGACGCAGGGGAAGAGGGATGGATGGCCGCCAGGGACGAGAAGAAGGAGGAAGGACGACGAAAGACGGAGGAGGCCGCAGAAGGAAGGAGGAAGGAGCTGTTTCGTTGCAGCCTTCTCTCCTATGTCATCCCGCCTGCGTCACTACTACTCAGAGTGCCGTGCAGCAGGAAGGTCGCAGCGGCACCAATCTGGCTAAAGGGGATGATCATCAAGGGGCACTTGGCATGTCGGCAAATCGTGAGGCCTATAGCCATGCGCTTGCTTTGCGCTCGATTCGGGGACATCCCATGGTCTCCGCCACAGCTGGCGCGGAGAACGTGTCCGACAGTCCCTAGAATCTCCTCCAATGCGCTCAAACACCCACACGATACAGGGCCTGCGCGAAGCTTCCACCGATAATTCCCAGCTGCAACACCATACATGTTACCGCCGGCCGCTAGCTGCGCCGCTGGCTGCACCAGGTTGACAGGCACTCCATGCAAGATCCCGTCTTCAGGCGCCTCGAGGGCGCATCGAGCGCCTCTCTCCTCCATCTTCGAAACACCGCCAACTTGAGGGTGGCCGCTTGCGCAGAGCTACACAGAGTCCGCCTCGCGGGCTCCTCGAGCAGAGAGACGATCGGGCTCCGAAGCGGCTTGAGCCAGTTTTGTGGTGCATGTCTGTCCTGCTGTCTGGTTGTGTTGGACGAACAACATGTACCACCTTTTCCACCCCTCATTCCCACCATCCTCGCGCCCCCGCCAACCACCCCCGCCTGCGCGCCCGCATCCCACCCCAAAATAACGCGCGCCACGCCCTCGGAACACGTACAGCCCTGATGGATGTATACCCACGTGCCAGATAGAAAGCACAGGACTAGTAAAACGGTGATGTGGGATTTGCTCGACCTAACACATAAATATGAATCCGGGAACTTAGCATGATGTATCCAAATATTGCTTCGTTCTGTACACTCACACTGTAAGAATGCGACTCTCATCTCCCCCCTGACCCTGTGCGGAAGATCCGCCGGCCCCCGTGTATGGCCACCAGGCTGTAGGGCGAAGTTGCTGATCCCTGCACCAGCTGCAGTTTCAAGTCTCCAATGTTACAGTCCTGCTTCCTGCTTCCTACTCTAAATTGTTGAAGTCCGCGCGAGGGGGTGGAGCCCCAAACCACCCAGTAACCATGCCCAAATCGCGTTCTCTGAATTCATGGGGGGGCGTAGGACACGTGAAAATACATGAGTTTCGCGTCCCCGAGGCCACAATCTCTTTTAATTGATAAAACATTCGCATCTCCGAGGCCACAAACCTTAGTAAATTACCTAATTGTTGCGTCCCCCCTCGTAAAGTATACCACATTCGCGTCCCCGAAGCAATAAACCTTCGCAAAGCACACCATATCCGCATTGCCGAGGCCAAGAATGCTAAAAGGCGTCCGAAGATGGTTCCAAGACAGCCCAAGAGGGCCCAAAGAGGCCCCAAGAGCGGTCCAAGAGGCCTCCAGAGAGAGCCCCAAGAGGCCAAATCGTAGATTTTACGGACGTGTTTGAAGGATGTTGGCCTTCTCGCTTTTTTAACATTCCGACGCTCCAAGACGGCTCAAGAAGCTCCCAAGAACGCCCCAAGACAGCCCAAGACGCCTCCCAGAGGACCCCAAGACGTTACATTGCTCGAACAGTTGCGCCGCCGCAGCAGCGAGAGACCAGAAGCAACCCCGCCGTGCCTGGGAGCAACGAGCACTTCGGACCTGGATTCGGAGGGGACTACTGCGGCGGCAGAGGCTGCTCTCCTCAGCCTCGTTGGAGAAGATGTCAATCTGTCGACTTGGCGCAAGCCCGGCGAGAGCCAGAACAGCGGGAAGTAGCCAGGGATGCTGTGGCCACGCCGAATGGATGGCTGATGCGGCCACACGCAGACAGACTGCAAAGGTGCGGGGAGCAGCCAGGGCAGTCTGTGCAGCAGCCACGGCGAACGAATAGCTGATGCAGCCAACACGCAGCAGACAGCAACGGCAAGTATCTGCGCAGCACACGGGAAAGATGGAGCAGCAGAGGAACCTTGGCGGAGCACCAAACTTGAGGGAGCACCTCGCTAGCACAGACAAAACTTGCAACGAGCAATGAGGAGCAAGAGGTCAAGACACCATGGCAATGACAACTGTTACCCAAGCCGATTCTGTCTCTGCCTTAGATCACATCGATGGGAAGTCCAAATCGCTCCTTTCTGTTCGAGGTGAATGCTACGACAACGACTCTGTGCGTCGGTTGTCGACGAAAATCTGCGACGGTGCCACGAGGCACCGAGTGACGAGTCATCAGGTCCTCTACGCTCTACGAGTCACTGATGAGCGCCACCTCCTGCGTGAAAAACACCGACATCGCGCCAAGTGCCCAGGCACCATCGGCCTGAGCCTCGCCAGCTCAGCCATCGCAGCCACAGCGCAGGCACCGCCGCTGGCGCAGCCCCCGTCGCCAGCTTTCCCACCACAGCCTCGGCCCTGCACAGCTCGGGCGTCGGTGTCGTCGGGAGCGCCACGAGCAAGGTCACCGGCTTGGTCAGCGCCAACGCCTTGTCCCTCCGCCAACCAATGACCACCCAGCTGGACGCTCGAGTTGTGCAAGGCAGCGCAGACAAAGAATTCACCTCGCGCCGGCGGCGGCAAACCGCTCCACGGGCTGCATCGACTGCTGGGCCAACACATCGCCAGCAGCTAGTTATTTCCTCCGCTGGCGAAGTGACGCCTCTGCCGCGAGCCAGCCGTGCACGGGGCGCGCCCACGCGAGGTGCACCCAGCGTGACCCGCCAGCAGCACAGGTGCCCCGCCTCGGCCGCTCTCGAACTCCCGCGGGCGCCTCGGCCTGCCGCCCTGCCTCGGCCGCCTCGGCCACCTCGGACGACAGGGGCACCCACTCGAGCCTCAACCGCCCTCGGCCTGACGCGCGATGTCCGCCAGCACCAGCTCGCCGGCGCCCAGCGGCTTGCGCGCCGCGCCGCGCCTCGCGGGCGTCTGCCGCACGAGGAAGTCCTCCGTCTCCGCGCGAAACTCGTCGCGCGTGACCAGCTTCGCGAGCAGGCCACCGCGCCCAGGCAGCCGCAGCCACTCGTGGCCGCAGCGGGACACCATCTCCGGGTGCCTGCGCCGCACGTCGATGACGCCCCTGGCATGGGCCCTGCGGGCCGAGTCCAGGTCCGCCACGAGCCGGCTCGGGTAGGAGATCGGCAGTGGCACCCTGGCCTCCCAGGGCCGGTGCACGAACTCGTCGGGGACGCCGGCCAGCTCGGGAAGCCAGCGCCTCACGTACCTGCCGTCGGGGTCGCAGGCTTTGGCGGCGTGCACTGGGTGGAGCACCATGTTCCAGTGGTCCGGGCCCGAGTGGCCGCCGTTCTGCCACATGAAGCTGTTAATCGCCACGTCCCCGTCGACCAGCGTCCAGTCGAACCACTGCAGCCCATCCTTCCAGGAGATGTCGAGGTACTCGATGAGCGTCTGTGCCACAAGGTGCCGCAGGTAGTTCGGCATCCAGCCCACGGCCCAGAGCTGCCTCATTGCCGCGTCCACCAAGGGGAAACCGGTCCTCCCGCTCTTCCATCGCTGCAACTGTCGCGCGGTGCCTCCCCATACCTGTTCCTTGGGGGAGGCAAGAGATGCCGACACCGCTACTCCATGCTGCTCCCCAAACATCTCCGGGGGTGCGCTCTGACCACGATTTCGAGGCGAATACAGCCGTGGCGACGAGGATGGAGCAGCGGCACACCAGTCGGGCTGCTGATAGAAGGAACGATAAATAAGGAACGAAGCCACTTCTGGGCGCCGACAACGCCTGGGTGCACGAGGAGAGCTAGAGGAACAACCACGGAAAGACCTAATGAACATCGAGCCCCTTCTGAACCCAAACTGTTCTTTATTTCAGCGTCTTGACTGTAGATATGTCTTCCTCCTCCGTCCTCGTACTGCACTCGCAGCGACACCGTCGGCAGAGTCGGGAACTCCCACAGGAACCAGTAGGCCATGTCCTTAGGCGCGCACCCAGGTCGGCACGGCCGTCCCACCTCCCAAGGCCGGGCTCGGGGCGAGCGGTCGGCAGCACACGGTTGGGGCTGACTGCAGGGGGCACACGGGAGGGCACGAGTCTCTTCAGGAGGCAGCCTCAGAGGAAGAGGACACTAACGTCAGACCTGGGCCAGAAGAACATCCTACAAGAACATCAGACCCTCCTTCATCCCAAACGCACAGAACATGCAAGGGTACCCTCCCCAGAATGCACAAGAACATCCAACAAGCACGAAGAGCACCAGGGTACCTTCTCAGAACCGACCTCGATCTTATACTAGAGGGCAAAAAGAACACCCCTATGACAACCGCCCCGACAAGCAAGGCCGTTTAGTAAACGCGCCCAAGGAAAGAATCGAACAGGGCAGGACTGTTTGACAAACGCCTAAGGCCGTTTAGTAAACGCCAATTGTCCGGTCCGGGTGTTTTTTCCTCCCTTGATATACCTCTGTCCGACTGCACATGAGCATCGATTGCTTAGATTGGCGCTGACCGCTCTCCCCAGCGCGCCGAGCGCGCCAGGGGCGGCGCTGGAGGCACGCAGACCTTGAAAGATGCATGTTTGTGCAATTTGTTCTTCCTTCGAAGCCCGTGCCCCAGACTTTTTGGTCGGCGACGAGCAGGATCCAGCAGGCGATCGGCTATCGGCGGGGCGCGTCGGAAGCGAATTGGGAACAGTGGATGGGGAAAGCAGGAGGGGACGAAGTGGACAGCCTGTGCCCCAGACATGCAGAGGACGTGAACAACGAGTTAGAGATACAGCATAAGGATACCCTTGCTGTTGCAGGGTCGGCCTACCAATAGAAACCTATTGCTGTAGCTGGCGAGGAACAATGCGCGCGCCACTCCGCTGCCACGGGCACACGGAAGTTGAGCCCTCGAAATCCAAACTCCCCTGAAGGAGCTGGAGAAGGGGGAACGATCGGGAGGGAACAGATACATCGCCGCGAGATCGGCAGTAGGCCCCCGACAGCGAAACTGGACCTTCCTGGGCAGCGTGGGCTTTCAGGGCCCTATCGGCGATCAATGGGCGATTGGGGGTCGATGCGTTCCCCCCCTGAGCCTATCCCTCCAATGATCCTCGTCGTCCGGTTTTCAGGGCAAGACTTTGGCCTGCGGGGGGCTCGTTCGGGGCGATCTGGGCACCCCCAGAGGCCTCTCCCTCTCGGCGAGGCGCAGCCGCTGGAACGCAGCCGAGGCTGGAAAACCGCCGAGAATGGACGAAAACGTCAGAAAACCCACCCTCCCAACCGCCCAGAGACGACGAACTCGCCCGAAGAAACCCTCAGCCTATCCCCCCCTTGAACGCGGGCCCCTAACTGGAGATGAAAGCCGCGCGCAGTCCGCAGGAGGCGGGGCCGACGTCACGCGCGCGGACTGGGCTGCAGGCTGCGCTGCCGGCAACGCGAGGCCTGCTCCTCCTCCTCCTCCTCCTCCTCCTCCTCCTCCTGCTCCTGCTCCTCCTCCTCCTGCTACTACTCCTCCTTCTCCTCCTCCTCCTCCTCCTCCTCCTCCTCCTCATCATCATCATCATCAGCAGCATCATCATCATCACCACCACCACAACCATCGTCATCATAATCATAATCATCATCATCATCATCATCATCATCATCATCATCATCATCATCATCATCCTCATCCTCATCCTCATCCTCATCATCATCATCATCATCATCATCATCATCATCATCATCAGCATCATCATCATCACCACTAGCGTTATCATCATCATGATCAGCAGCATCATCATCATGATCATCATTACCATCATGATCATCAACATCACCGTCACTCTCATCATCCTCATCCTCATCATCATCGTCATCGTCACCGTCATGAAAAAAATCATCAGCAGCAGCAGCATCATCATCATCCTCATCATCATCACCACCAGCGTTAGCATCATCATGATCAGCAGCATCATCACCATCATCATCATCACCATCATCACAATCATCACCATCATCATCAGCATCATCATACTCGTCATCATCGTCCTCATCATCATCAGCATTATCAGCTGAAGCAGGAGCATCATCATCCTCATCATCATCCTGCTCCTCATCTTCAGCAGCAGCATTATCAGCATCATCATCATCATCATCCTCCTCATCATCATCCTCATCCTCATCCTCATCATCATCAGCATCAGCATCAGCAGCATCAGCATCAGCATCAGCATCATCATAATCATCATAATCATCATCATCATCATCATCATCATCATCATCATCCTCATCCACATCCTCATCCTCATCTTCATCCTCCTCATCCTCATCCACAGCATCATCAAAGGCATCAGCATCAGCGTCAGAAACAGCATTATCATCATCAGCAATATAATTATCACCATCATGATCATAATCCTGATCATCATCATCATCATCATCATCATCAGCATCATCATCATCATCCTCATCATCATAATATTAATCATCATCTTCATTATCATCATCATCAGCAGCATCATCATCGTCCTCATCCACATCCGCAGCATCAGCACCAGCATCATCATCATCAGCAGCAGCATCATCCTCATCCTCACCCGCATCCTGATCATCCACATGAAGCGAGGCCTACTCCGTCTCCTTATCATCATCAGAATCGTCAACATAATCATCATAATCATCATCATCATCATCATCAACAGCATCCACATCAACATCATTATCATCACAATCAGCATCATCATCATGACCGACATCAGCATCACCCTCATCCCCAGCATTCTCATCAACATCTTCCTCCTTCGCATCATCGTCATCATCAGCAGCATCACCATGATCCCCAACGTCATCCTGATCACCACCATCATCATCATCCTCATCATCATTTTCATCACCATCTTCCTCCCTCCCTCGCATCAGCCTCATCATCATCATCACAATCAGCGTCATCATCATCATCATCATCATCATCATCATCATCAACATCATCATCATCATCATCATTCCCATCACCACAACCATCATCATCATCATCATCGTCAGCATCATCATTATCATCCCCCTCATTATCTTTTTCCTCATCGCCATCCTTATCATAATATCGGTCGGCAGCAGCATCATCATCATCATCATCCTCATCCTAACCCTAGTCCTCATCACAGCATTATCAGCATCATCATCCTCATCCTCATCCTCGTCATCATCATCAACACCACCATCATCATCCTCATCCGCATGCTCAGCACCAGCACCAGTATCATCCGCATCATCATCCTTATCATCCTCAGCATCATCATCAGCATCAGCATCCTCACAATCATCAGCATCATCAGCATCATCACGATCAGAAGCATCATCCTCTGCATCCGTAGTCATATCCTCATCTGCGTCCTCATCCTCAGCACCAGCCTCATCATAAGCATCATCATTAGCATCATCAACATCATCCTCATAATCATCATCATCAGCATCATTGCGATCAGCAGCATCATCCTCTGCATCCGTAGTCGCATCCTCATCTGCATCCTCATCCTCAGCATCAGCATCATCATCATCAGCATCATCATCAGAATCAGCATCAGCATCAGCATCAGCCCCATCCTCAGCATCAGCATAATCATAAGCATCAGCAGCATCATCGTCATCATCAGCGTCAACCTCAGCATCCTAATCTCCATCCTCATCCTCATCCCCATCATCATCCAGAGGGGAGAAGGCATGCTCCTCATCCTCGTCCTCATCATCATCATGAGCAGCAGCAGCAGCATCATCATCAGCAGCATCATCATCCTGAACATCAGCATCATCAGAAGCATCAGCATCATCATCAGCATCACCATCATCATCAGCAGCATCAGCCGCATCCGCATCATCAGCTTCCTCAGCACCATCATCATCATCATCATCATCATCATCAGCAGCATCACCATCATCAGCATCAGCAGCATCAGCATCAGCATCATCAGCAGCATCTTCGGTATCACCCTCATCCTTGTCCGCAGCATCATCCACACCCTCATCCTGATCTTCATCATAATCATCATCCTCATCCTCACCCTCATCCTGAGTAGCATCATCAGCATCAGCATCATCACCACCATCAGCATCATCATCATCATGCGCATCCTCATCCTCATCCGCATCCTCAGTCCCATCATCAGCATCATCATCAGCATCAGCATCGTCATCACAGTCAGCCTCCTCATCCTTAGCCTCATCCTCATCCTCGTCTGTATCCTCAGCATCAGCATCAGCAGCAACATCATCAGCATCACCATCATCAACCTCATCCGCATCCGCATCCTCGTCCGCAGCATCATCATGAGCATCCGCAGAAGGCTGGGTTCTGCTTCTCCAACTTCTCCTCGTCATCAGCATCATCAGCATCATCAGCATCAGCATCATCATCATCAGCATAGCATCATCATCAGCATCACCAGCATCATCATCATCATCATCATCATCATCATCATCAGCATCATCATCATCATCATCATCATCATCATCATGATCATCATCATCAGCATCATCATCATCATCGACATCCTCATCCTCATTAGCATCATCATCATCATCATCATCATCGACCTCAGCATCGTCAGCATCATCAGCATCAATATCCGCATCCTCATCCTCTTCCTCATCCGCATCTTCATCCTCATCATAATCAGCCTCCTCCGCCGTCTCATCAGTATCAGCAGCATCATCCACGTCCTCATTCTCATTATCATCCTCTGCATCCTCATCCTCAGCAGTATCTTTATCCTCATCCTAGTCCTCCGTCCCATCATCATCCTCACCATCATGTTCATCACCATCATCAGCAGCATCATCTCACCACGACCATCATCAACAACATCATCATCCTCGGCCACATCCCCAGCAGCATCATCAGCATCATCAGCATAATCAGAATCCTGATCCTCATCCTCATCCTTATCCTCATCGGCATCCCCATCCTCAAACTCAGTGTCAGCATCAGCATCACCATGAGCATCATCATCAGCAGCATC